AACTAGAAATTCATAACAAAGAATGGAAAATCACAAAATAATTGGACATCAAGCAACTTCTAAACAACATATGGGTCAAAGAAGAAATCTTAAGAGAAATTTTAAAAATACTTTAAATTATAAAAAAAAGTACTTTGAACTAAATGAAAATAAAAACACAACTTATCAAAATTTGTGGGACGCAGCAGAAAAAGTGCTTACAGCAAAATTTATAGCACTGAATGCATATATTAGAAAAGAAGAAAGATCTAATATCAATCATCTAAGCTTCAACCCTAGGTAAACAGGAAAAGAGCAAATTGAATCCAAAGTAAACAAAAGAAAAGAAATAATAAAAATTAGAGCAGAAATCAATGAAACTAAAAACAGGAAGACAATAGAAAGTCAACAAAACCAAACGCTGTTTCTTTAAAAAGATTAATAAAATCAATAAGCCTCTAGCCAGACTAAAGAAAAAAAGAAAGACACAAATTACTAATATAAAAAAATGAAAGAGAGGGTATCACTGCAGATCCCCTAGACATTAAAAGGGTAATAGTAAAATATTATGAACAACTTTATGCCCATACATTTGATAACCTAGAAGAAATGGACCAATTCCATGAAAGGTACAAACTGCCAAAATTCACAGATGAAGAAACAGACAATCTCAATAGGTCCATATCAAAGAAATTTAATCAATAATTAATAAGCTTCCAAAACAGAAAGAACCAGGCTTTCTTGAGTTTACCTATGAATTCTACCAAACATTTTTTTTTTTTTTAAGATTTTATTTATTTATTTGACAGAGAGAGCGAGCGAGAGCGGGAACACAAGCAGGGGGAGTGGGAGAGGGAGAAGCAGGCTTCCCGCGGAGCAGGGAGCCCGATGCGGGGCTCGATCCCAGGATCCTGGGATCATGACCTGAGCCGAAGGCAGATGCCTAACAACTGAGCCACCCAGGCGCCCCTCTACCAAACATTTAAAAAAGAAACTATACCAATTCTCTATGGTCTCTTCTAGAATACAGAAGCAGAGGGAATATTTCCTAACTCAGTCTTTCAGGCCAGCATTACTCCAGTGCCAAAATCAGACAGAGACACTACAAGAAAAAGAGACCAGTATCTCTCATGAACACAGATGCAAAAATCCTCAACAAAATATTAGCAAATTGAATCCAATAATGTATAAAAAGAATTAGGCACCACACCCAAGTGGGATTTATCCAAGGTAGGCAAGGCTGTTTCAACATTTGAAAATCAGTTACTGTAATGCATCATATCAACAGACTAATGAAGGAAAATCATGGGATTATATAAAGAGAAGCAGAAAAAGTATTTGACAAATCTAACACTCATTCATGATAAAAACTCCCAGCAAACTAGAAATAGAGGAGAACTTCCTCAACTTGATAAAGAACACCTACCAAAAATTCTGGCAGCTAACATCATATTTATTAGTGAGAAACTTGCTTTCCCACTAAGATCAGGAACAAGGCAAGGGTGTCCCCTTTCGTTCCTGCTTTTTAACATCATACTAGAAGTCCCAGTTAATGCAATAAAAAAAGAAAATAAAAATGACAGAGATTGGGAAGGAAGAAATAAAACTACTTATTTGCAGGTGACATGATCATCTATGTAGAACATCTGAAAGAATCTACATATAAAACTTCTGGATCTAAAAGTGATTATGGCAAGATTCCAGCATACAAATATATGGAAGTTAACTGCTTTCTTACATATAAGCAATGAACAAGTGGAATTTGAAATTAAAAACATATTACCATTTACATTAGCACCCCCTCCACACACACACACAGTAATACTTAGGTATAAATCTAACAAGATTATTTACAAAATCTATATGAGGAAAACTACAAAACTCTGATGAAAGATATCAAAGAAGAACTAAATTAGTGGAGAGATAGATATTCCATATTCATAGATAGGAAGACTCAATATTGTCAAAACATTAGTTCTTCCCACTTGATCTATAATTTCATCCCATCACAATCAAATTCCCAGCAAGTTATTTTATGGATGTTGACAAAAGGATTCTAAAGTCTATATGGAGAAGCAAAAGACCGAGAATAGCCAACTCAATATTGAAGGAGAATAAATTTGGAGGACTGACACTATCTGACTTCAAGACTCACTGTAAAAGTACAGTAATCAAGACAGTGTGGTATTAGTGAAAGAACAGACTAGTAGATTAATGGAACAGAATAGAGAGCCCACAAATAGACCACATAAATATAGTTAACTGATCTTTGACAAGGGATCAAAGGCAATACAGATCTTTGACAAATGGAACAAAATAGTCTTTTCAACAAATAGTGCTAGACCAATTGGACAACCACATATGTGCATATGCGTGTGTGCATACACAATCTAGACATAGATCTTAACACCCTTCACAAAAATTAACTCAGAGTAGATCATAGACCTAAGTGTAAAACACAAAACTATAAATGCCCTAAAACATAGGAGAAAACCTAGATGACTTTGGGAATGGTGATAACTTTTCAAATACAACACCAAAAGCAAAATCCATGAAAGAAATAATTAATAAGCTGGAT